AAACTGTCTTTTTTGTTGTTATCTTTTGTTTTAGTGTAGCTCATATGCCTAACAAATAGTGAAAAGTATTGGTCCCGTTGAGAGCTTAAACACGAAGCAAATTCGTAGTGGCACAAAATTCACCAAGGTGGTTGCTTGCCTTCTAATAGGAGATGAAAAATACGTAAAGTTGTAACAAATTTTTTTTTCTTAAGCTCATACAAAATCCATTTCAACCTCTTTGCTCTTGTAGGTATTCCCATGACAGTGTGGACGAGTGCGGGTAAAGAAGCTAGTCCAAGACAACAGGATTAGCCTAGCTACATGGAACGTAGGAATGATTACAAGTAAGAGTATGGAGTTAGTGGATACAAGGAGACGAAGGAGAGTAAACATATAGAAAGGAGAAAAAGCTAAGGAAATATATAGGCATAAACTTTGGAACACAGGAAAGGATAATAATCGAAATGACGCAGGGCATAATAGTAGACAAAGATTTTAAAAGACAACGTAGTTAATGTCAAGAGAGTAGATGATAGCTCCTATTAATTAAACTTGTATTAGGGGAAGCGGTAATTAATGTAATTTGTGCTTATGCACCACAAGTAGAACTAGATGATAGAATTAAGAGTAAATTTTTGGAGGATATGGATGGACTAGTGCAAACATATCAAATGGAGAGAACCTTTTTAGGAGGGGATTTATATGGACATGTAGGGAGGATGGTAGAGGATATGAAGGGGTATATGGGGGATATAGGTTTGGTGAAAGAAATAAGATAGGTGAGGCTATTATAGATTTTGCTATGGCCTATGACCTAGCAGTAGCAAACAATATTTAATAACCTATAAAAGTGGATAACATAAACGCCAAATAGACTTCTTCTTGGTTAAAAAGATAGATCGATTATGTAAAGATTGTAAGGTTATCTCAAGAGAGAGTTTGACTACCCAACATAGGCTTGTGGTTGTGGACGTCTGCATAAAGACATGGAAGAGATGGGATGAAATTACTAGGTGTCCGAGAACTAGGTGGTGGAATTTAAAAAATGAGAAAATAAACTTATTTAGAGTTAAATTAGTTAAAGAAAAAAAATTGAATTCTGAACATGAGGTCAATGTTATGTGGAATGAGATAGTGATTGTATTAAGAAAGTGGCAAAAGAAGTTTTAGGAGAATTTTGAGGGAAAAGAAATTTTGATAAGGAAACTTGGTGGTGGAGTGATGAGGTTTAAATGCGATTAATGAAAAACGATTATGCACTGTTCGGAAATTCGGCTTCTCGACTGCCTAGGCGAAAAAATTCAAAAAACACCCAGGCTCTATCTGAGTGGGGTCACTATGCGCCCTGTCTCTTGGTGGGAGCCTAGGCGGGCAAGGTGCTGCCTTGGCAACTATCTGGGCGTCCACCTAGGCGTTGCCTAGTGAAACTTTGCGGACGGGCGGAAAAAAAACTTTGGAGAGGGTAAAAAAATTTATTTTTTTGGGGAAAAAGGGTTTTGGGGGTTATGCTAAACCCCAAAAACAAAAGCCGTGACCTTTAGGCTGAGAAAACCCCCTAAAAACCACTCTTTTGTGATTTAACAAAAAATGATAAATTTTTTATTTTTCGAGTTCTTCCTAAAATAAACGCAATAGTTTGTGGGTGGATTTGGAGCTTCTAATAGTTGATTTTGAAAACTTTTGACGACCCAATAGATGAGGTTTGCACCAACATCGATTTGATTTTGATATTTTTAAAATATTATCATATTTGGAAGAGGGTTTTGATTTTATTTTGCTGCAATATATTATGTTGTGAATTATGTGTATTTTCTTTTACTTTCTTTCTCTTACGATATATTTACATGTTTGTAGGTAAAAGATTGGTTTGTTTTGTGATTAATTGATTTTTTCTCATTTGGACGATGACATTGAGCTTTTATTGTATTCTTTTATGAATAGTTGATTCCTTTTTTGTACAATGTGTCATTTGTACAATGTGTCATTATTCCATTATTATTATTTTTATTTGATAAATAATAGATTATGTATTTATATGATATCTTAATGAATTTAAGTCTTAATTCTTAAAGTGAAACTAAGATCTTATATATTCATTAAAGTCTTATTGTAAAAGTATATTAAGTCATATTGTTTTGAAACTAACATCTTAATGATACCATATCATATATCTTAATTCTTAAATTCTTAATTATATGATATCTTAATGAGTAAAGTCTTATTGTAAAACTAACATAGTGACATCTTATATATTCATTTAACTCATATCAAAGGGGGGAGGGGGAGGGGGAGGGGGAGGGGGGGGTGGGGGGTTGTGGTTTTAATATTTTTGAGGATTGTGAGGGTACCCTGTTGTTGGGCGGTGCCTAGGCGGCCGAATCCGCATTGGCAATGTAATAGACATTATCAAAACTTAGAAGAATATAAAACGGCTCAAAAAAATACTAAACAAATAGTAATTAAGGCTGAACTTAAGGCATATGATAATTTATATAGTAAACTGAGAGCAAGAAAAAGTGAAAAAAATGTCTTCAAATTAGCAAAAATGAGAGAAAAACAATATAGGAATTTAAACCATATTAAATGCATTAAGTGGGGATCAAAGGGTCTTGGTGTGGGATGAAGAGGTCAATGAAAGATGGAGAGTTTATTTTACAAAATTGTTAAATGTCGAACACAATGGGAACATAGTGGTAGAAGGAACCGTTGGCATAAATGAGGGTAGAGGCCATAGATACATTTGTGGTATTAGGATATCGGAAGTGAAAGAAGTTTTGAAGATGATGAAGATAGGAAAGACTTTAGGACCAGATGTTATTCCGATAGAGGTCTGAAAGTGCATGGGAGAGATTGACATTCACTGACATACCAAGCTGATTAGTAAGGTGTTAAGAACAAAGAAAATGACGAATGAAGGAAAAGTATTATGATACCTATTTACAAGGACAAAAGAGACGTACAGAATTGTGTGAACTATCGAAGGATCAAACTTATGAGCCACACTATGAAGCTGTGAGAGGGAGTGATTGAGCAATGGCCAAGTTATGAAACGAGTGTATCAAAAAATCAATTCGGATTTATGCTAAGGAGGTCAATTGAGACTATTTTTCTACTTAAACAATTGATTGAGAAGTTTAGGGCCAAGGGACAAGACCTCCACATGGTATTTATTGATCTAGAGAAAGCTTATAATAGAGTACCTAGAGATTTGATTTGGTGGGCGTTGGAAAAGAAAGGAGTCTCAAGACACTACATCGACTTGGTGAGAGATATGTACGAGGGAGCGCTAACTAGTGTTCGAACAACTAGTGAAAAGACGAGTGAGTTTTTAGTGACAATAGGTCTACAACATTGAGCCCATACCTCTTTATCTTAGTTATGGACGACTTACTAGACACCTATAAGATGAGGTACCGTGGTGCTTGTTGTTCACTGATGAAATAGTTTCGATCGATTGGACCCGAGAGGACGTCAACACAAAATTAGAACTTTGGAGGGATACTTAAGAATCTAAAGCTGTAGACAAAGTATATAGAATGCAAGTTTAGTAATAATAGGAGCAGAGACGAGGAAATAGTTAAGATTGACGGCCAAGAAATACAAAAAAGAGTGCACTTTCGATCTCTTGGGTCCATAATCAAGGAAAATGGAGAGATTGAGGAAAATGTTGCATATCGAATTAGAGTTGGGTGGGCGAAGTGCAGATGTGCAACCAAAGTTTTATGTGACCGCCACATACCAATGAAACTAAAGTACAAGTTCTATAAGACAACTGTAAGACCAGCTTTACTTTATGGGGTGGAATGTTGGGCGGTTAAGAAACAACATACCCATAGAATGATTGTAGTTGAGATGCGGATGTTGAGATGGATGAGTGGCAAGACAAGAAAGGATATAATTCAAAATGAATAAATTCAGGAAAATTTAGGTGTGGCGCCAATGGCAATAAGATGAGAGTAAAAGTAGACTTAGGAGGGCTGGCCATGTGTGGCGCAGACCTACATGGTTGGAAGTAGTAAGAAAAGATATGGGGACTTATGGCCTCATCGAGGGTATGACTCTTAATAGAGCAGAATGACGGATCAAGATTCGTGTAGCCAACTCCAACTAGTTGAGAAAAGGCTTCGATGATGATGATGATGATGGTTTTGTTTAGTGGAACGTGTTAACAACTGTATTAAGTATAGGAAGTGTACAAGTTGCAAAAATAAGCTACCCACAAAGTGGGAGCTCTATATAGAAACCATTGAGAGGGTGGCAGCTGCAAAAAATGCTATACAATGGGCAAAAAACCAATTAGAGAAACCGGGGGAACCAAGAGCTCAAAAGGTGTCGAAGGGTTCCCTAACCTTCCGCCCGAGTCGTGCCTTCCTTAGTGAGAGCGTTTGTATTGGAGTTGGCCTCGTGCCATTTATGAGTTCATAAGATGTGCATAGGCCTGGAAATATCGTAAATTTCATCAAAAATCTATGCTAATCTCTAGGAACAGGCAATGGCACACGAGGCCCAAGAATTGACATTTTTGGATTCTCCTTCTAGCATTATCGGGCTCCAAAGAGGATTGAAATTTCTAGGACCTTTGAGTAGGGTGAGGGCTTCCATTGTGGTGGAATCAGCATGGAGAAGGAGAAGAGGGAATAGCCTTTGTTGCCTCTGATGATACCCCTAATGCTTGCTGGACCTGGTTTGCCAAGCAAGAGACCGTAGAAGTTTAGTTTAGATTGTCCTGAATCTGGGGTTCTCAAGAGGGGGGCTCAAGGGACACAAGAGGGCCTTAGGAAGAGTAAGGTTTTTCCAGGAGATGGAAGTCCGTGTGGGAGAAGTGCCTGAGGCGCCTATAGTTCTTACCCCAAAAGATAACCATCGTTCTGATAAGTTCTCTCAGGTCTTCGAGAGAGGTCTTTTGTCCACAGAAGATCCTGTGAATTTTATGAGAAGTGATGTTTAGAAGTTATCAAGAAATCAAACTATTCGAGCTAACACACAATCTCATGCTGCAAATTGTAGTCATCTTTTTTACGCATGAAATGACCAATGGAAACCAAAATGGTGGTCCATGTTCTCTACTTAATTTTTTAAGTATGCATTGTATTGATCTTCTAGTGGAGAGATTGCAACTCCAAGATGTTAGAAATAATATAATACAAATAATGTAAACGTGCATGTATGGCATGTCGGTAAATGATTGTCATTGAGACATGTATTGCTTCCCACTCAATTCTCTCTCAGTTCCAAATATATAGGAGTGTCGATTCCATAAATGAAGGAATCTCAATTCACTAAATGAAGGAATCTTGACTTCCATATTGGTCGATTCCAACTAGGTCGGAACTCAATTCCAAGGAGCTAGGAATCTCGATTCCATCTATGTAGGGATCTCGATTCTATTTTGGTTGAATTTTCATTCCTAAAAATAGGAATGTTGTCCCCCACGTTTCCTTTTGTATGGATGTTGATTCCAAAACAGGAATCTTGTAACTGGTGGCGATTCCGCGCTTCCGATTCCTAAATTGATTCAGGTAGCTATGGTAGTCCCTTTCTTTGTAGTTGATCAATGTTCAGGGCTCTCTCTGAGATGGCTAGCCAATTGAACACTTGAATTTTGGGGTGAATGAAAGGGAGCCAAGCTTTAATGGTTATGGAAGGGGGTGGGATTGGAAGGGTCTAGGGGGTACGGAGTATGCGATAAAAGGAGGAGAGGGAAAACCTGCTTCAAGTGGCAGGGGACCAAATGATCTTATCTTCGCCCTGTGTGGGGGGGCACGTTGTAGTTAGATGGGAGGAGAGCTCAAGAAAGTCGTCCAGCTCCCAGTCTACTAAGGGCCTCCTAAATGGAGTTCTAGATCCTCGAGGGACCCAATGATTAAAAAATATTGGTGACTGATGCATTGCTGTTTCTTGCCAAGAGGTGGAGGTTAGGATAACAATCCCTTTGAGGGGAGTGCCCTATCCAGAGGTTTGACTAGAATTTGACTCTGTTACGGCTCCTAAGGTGGAACTGGATATTTGCTTTGAAATGGATATGGCAGCGGAGCATGGATTGACAGGCTCCTAAGGAGGAGCTATTAGTGTGGCAAAGGGGCAGCCAACTAGTAGAGTTCGGGTGGTAGTATTTGTGGTGCTGGACTAGTTGCCATGGAACAACATCTTTGGTTGTTAGGCGCCACCACGACTTGCCCAGGAAGGTTTGGCTGTTCATTTTCAGGCTGCGAATCCCCGAATCTCCACGAGATTTAGGAAGACAGACTTTATCGCAGGAGGTTAGATGGTACTTTTTCGATTCCCCATCACCAGCCAGAGGAAGTACCTCTTTAGTTGCTCAAGCCGGGAGGCATTGAGGCGGACATGTGAAAGAGCAACATCTGATAGATGGGGACATTGTGGAGGGTCGCCTTGCTGAGGTTGATCCTACTAGCCGAAGAGAGGAATCTTCCTTTTCAACTGCTAATTTATAGTCAAATTTGTTAATGATGGGTCCCCATTGACTCAGTTTGGGTTTACCTAAACAGAGGGGCAGGGGTAGGTAGGAGGATGGCAAAGCATCTAGGTTGCAGCCCCACCTACCTGCAAAGTGTTGGGTGGCTTGGGGCTCTAGGGAGACTCCAATCATTTTGGATTTGGCCATGTTTACTCTGAAGACAGTGGCTAGTTCAAAGCATTTAAGGAAAAGGAGGGAGTCAACCTGTGGCGCAAATGCTCCACAAAGAGGTGGTGTCATTGGCGTATTGCAAGTGGGATATCATGGGACCTTGATTGCCTATTTTGAACCCCTTGAGGAGGCTGTGTTGATACAACCTAGCCACTGATCTGCTAAAGACTTTGGGTACTATGGCAAACAGAAATGGGGAGAGGGGGCCCCCTTGTCTTATGCCTCTGGATAAAGGTAAGAAATCTTTGGGGAAGCTGTTTATGAGAACTGAGAAGTACGGGTTGGAGATACAGCCGTGGATTTAGGTCCTCAATGGGGGCTGAAACCCATCCTTAGGAGAGTTTCATCAAGAATGACCTAATCAATGTGGTTGTAGGCTTTCTCCCTGTTTAGTTTGATAATTAGATGGGGGATTTTGGAGAGAGTTTTGAAGTTGATACATTCGTGAGCCATTAAGGCCCCTTCGAGAATCTGGAGGTCCTTCACAAATGTCCCTTGGTTAGAGGAGATGACCCAGCCGAGGACCTTCTTGCTCCTAGAGGCGAGGACCTTGGACAGGATCTTGTAGGAGCTGTTGATTAAACTGATAGGTCTAGAATCTTTAAATTCATCAGCGCCTTCTACTTTGGGAACTAGGGCAATGAAGGTGGCATTCATGGCTCTGTTGATGGCCCCTCTTTTGTGGATCTCCTCGAAGAAGGAGTGCATGTTGGGGTGGAGGGAGGCCCATAAGTGTTCGAATATTCCAAATATTTTCCTTGAGATATTCCTGAATGTTGGTCAATATTCTAACAATCAAAAAACAAGAAAAAAGAAAAAAGTGTTGATTAATATTTGTGCTTGGAAAGATGGTCATCAAGTAGCACCCATTCTATAAAGCAGCTTTACTGGACTAGGTCTTATTTAATCTAATTGAGTCTTGACTTTTTATTTAAGGAAATTATAATATAAGAGAAAGTATGTCATGGTACCTTTATAGCTGTGCCATACATTTCAGTTTGGTCCGTTTGCCATTTGCTATTTCATTGTCTACAAGGGAAAGCCGTTGTCAACTGATATTCAGCTCATGTCAATTGAACACACAACTTTTTATTTTTTTTGTAAGTATTATAAGTAGAGAAACAGGATTTGTCTAGCTGACCCCAAATAGTTGGGATAAGGCTTAGATGATGATGATTATTATAAGCAGAGAAAGAGTTGACATCTGCCATCCTTTGTTAACAACAGATGACTAATAGTACATATAACACACTGAACAGCGTGGCACATGTAATATGGAAACCCTTAATATGATCAAACTCTAAAAAGGATGAATATATAACAGGACCTGGATCTTAGAGCAGTAACAAATGAAACAGCATGTAGAACTTGTAGACTATCTTATGCCCATCTTCATGTCCTTTTGTGTCTATTGTGGAGAAAACTGATTACTTGTGTAGCTTAGCTTTCTGCATTAATTGTTCTTAAAAATATTATTTGCAAATTTGTAGTGAAACTTTAGAACTGACCTTTTTTCAGTATAAATAGAATGGTTCAGTTGTCAATGGCAACTCCGAATCCTGGGCTTGAACCAATCACTAACCTATCCAAAAAAAAAAAACCTGTAATAGTTCTAGTTCAGTTCATAATGCACTATTTTTCCTACAAGTAGGAAGCCTCAGGATATTTTCCATGTTTATATTTCACACTACGATGTCTGTTGGTTGGGATTCAGTAGCATGGACATGGAAGTCTCTGTAATTGACACCCATGTTTGGCATTCATGCAGAAAACCCAATCTAAATTATCATCCACTACTGGCAAGGTGGTTGAATTTGCATTTGATAGAGCTTCAAGTGCAGGGCCAAAAAGCAACGAGTCTGATATTGAAGATATGTCCTTCAGATCCCAAAATGGGGATTTGCGTGAGACATGGTATAGCCAATCTGTTGAAAGTTATAGAGAAAGAAGATCAAAATGGATAGCATGGCGTATTTCCCAACAAAGAATTCCATTTAGTGAGCGAGAAACATTTAAAAGGACACCAGAGGGAATGTCTTTGTACCTCAAACTTCTCGAGAAACACAATAAAAGGCGAAAAATATTTGATGATCAGGGAATGGGTTTTGCCAATCCAGTCAAGGAAAATGGGTCTCATGGGTTCCACACAAGTTCAAACTTGGAAATGAATGACTTGATGGGAGAGGAATCAGATTTCTTCCCAGAACTCATGTTTCCATCTAACTGTGTGCCTGATAGTGCAGTCCCCTCCACTAACAAGCCTGAAGAAAATCAGAATATAGAATTTTGTGGGATTCTTGATAATTTGCCCCAGGGTATATGCAGGAATCCAGCAATGATTGAAAGATTTGGCATGAGGGCTGAGTACTTTAATATGGGGATTGGGAGAAGCAAATATAGGGGAAAGAACAGGAGATCCATGTGTGAGGAGGAAGCATCTCATCTGCTTCAACAAGCTCTATCTCGTATATTGGTCAGCATTGGTTTCGAAGGGGCATCGAGTAACTCATTGGAGGTTCTTTCACAGTTTCTTAGCTGCCACATTTGTAAATTAAGCCAGATCTTAAGACTGCTTGCAGATAGTTACAGGAAACAATGCACACCTGTGGAACTCCTTAAAATGTTCATACGAACATTGGGATACAGGTAAATAGATTTTATTATTTTTCAGTGTAGTTACTTGATATGCCTGCGAAATATGGATATATTGATCTAAAATGTTTTCTTTTTGGGTTCATTTAAGAAGAACTTCCATATTTTAAAGTATCATGGAAATGCTTTTTTTCTTCTTTGGTGATAGAGTTTGGAACTTAGGTACCGGTTTGCGGGAATGGGCCTGGGGTTTGGGACGAGGGGTCATCTCTAGGGAGCACCTATATAATATGTGTGTCTGTGAATGTTTGTGTGTGTGCGTGTGTGCGTGCACGTGTGTGTGTGTGTGCATATGCGTGAGTCATGCATACCTGAGTGTGTGCTTGTGTGGGGGCGTTACATAAACTTCAGAAAATATTATTCCTAGTTTCATATTGTTATATATAAAGACATGTATTCCACAAAAAAATCATAAAAAACATATCAAAAAGTTGCCGAGTCATCACATTGTGGAATTTGACACATTTTCATTGTGTAAAGGGGCAACAAAGTCCAAAACTCGAAAACAATTTGCTAATAATCCTTGTCATGATAAAGAAGTAGCAAGCCGGAACATGACAATGTCTTGAAAAAGGAAAAACAAGTATATTGTAGTTTCCACTAAAGTCCGATTTCTTATGGATTCCCAACATTCAAATATGAAATGAGAAACAATTACTTTATATTAAGAGATAGCAGTGATTTAAAAAGCAGACTGCCCAATGCCTGGGCGGTCGCCTAGGCGGTCCAGAAGTCCTGGGCGCATTGCCTAGGCCTAGGCAGGCAAATTAGGCTGGATATCCCTGGGCGCTGGCCTAGGCGCCCAGGAACCCGCCTAGGCGGGCGCCCAGCGCCCAGGGCTTGCCCCACCCTGGGGCGGAAATGCCCCTCGTTGAGAATGAGAATCATTTCCACTAAGGAATTGTGTCCATCTAATATTTTAACAGTTACTTTGATGCTCAAATGCCCATTAAAATTTGGTCTAGAATGAGAATCATTTCCACTTCTTTGAAACCCAAAATTTGCCTAGTGATGCATTTTGTAGTTGCCATAGTGCGGTCAGTTAAAGAAGAGAGACAGGGAATGTTCCTTTAACGACTGTATGGCAACAAGTTCCTAAAAGGCTAAGGACCACATTCCCATGAAAATGGGAGCGTGTATGTGCTCCCAAATTGCGAACCATAATTTTGGGGGGTCTGCCACTTTAGATAGAAGATCCCAGTTTAGAATTTTAATGAGCTATAAATTGGCCTTTAGCATGTTCATTATTTATGGTTCCCAATATTTAAATGCCATACATATATATTTGAGATAAATGCTCATTAGAAATAATTGAATTTTTTTTTTCTACTTTTACAAAGCTGTCTGGCTCTCGTTTTCTCTCTCTCTCTGTTGGTAACCTTCCCTGCCCCATCGAGAACCTTTCCTGTCTCCGTGGAGATTTCTTTCTCTAATGGGGAGAGCGCTCAACTCTGGGGGTTTTGGAAGAAAGCATCTAACTGAATTTTACTCTGCATTTTGCGACAACAAAGTAGGATAATAATCCCTAACTGGCTAGAAAAATAGTTTTGCCAGTGACTTCTCCGAAATGGCCGGCAGAATTCCTCTGCCCGCATCTCTGAATCCTCCATGGCCGACCTTGTAATCCTCTCTTCTGGTTATTCTTTTGAGAGAAACTATGCAATTGCTTTGCTTGGATCAAAGATGGCTGGAATCTTTTTGCAGCCACTATAAACCCCTCAAACACCACTGCGATAATATTGCTTCCCTTCTCCTGAATCTCTCTATAGAATCAGCCATAGCTCAATTTGTAAGCTTTGTAGTTTTCCGAACCCTATTGCCCCTTCACTAGATGATGCACTAGTTTGGTTTCTAAAAATGGGAGAGTCCACTGTGCGGAGTGTTCTGCCTAGGCCTGTGCTTTGCCACTTATTTGCAGAGCTGCTTTTAAGAGATATTTGCATTTTAAGGGGTTCATGTGTTTCCCGGGGCCAGAAAACCGGAAGATATAGAGCTGAATGGGTTTTAGAGGTCTTTTGATGAGAATTCTGGTCAAAATTGGAGGGAAGTTGGATTAGAGTGGAGGTTTTCAGGTGAGATTTTGGATTGAAATGACCAGGATCTTGACCTGGAGTGTGCATTGAGGTTTTGTATTGAGAATTTTGGCAGGAAACAGGCTTCCAAGTCTGAAGCCAAATTTTCTGGGTTAGATCTTAATTCTGGGGCTTTTGGGTCGAGAGATTGGGAGAGGGATTTGCTTGTTGTAGGAGAGAGGTCTAGAATTGCAGGGGAATGAGAGGTGATGGGGCAAGTTAAAATTGGAAGAGAGAGATGGGCAGTAGAGTTGCATGAGCATGATAGAGGTGTTGGAGGGCCTTGAGAAAGGAAGGGCTGTGAGAGAGATGGGGCTCGATAGGTTGAATCCAAAAACCTAGAGAGCTCAAAAAATTTGATTCATATATAAATATTCTAATTGCTTATTTTTTCATAAAATTGATAGCTTTTTAAATTTATGTCCAAAACAGCTCGCTGTATACCAATGCATCTAAGCCCTTGAGAAGTTTTTATTTGCTCATCATCCAAAAAATAGCATATTTGGGTTCATCCAAACCGATCTAAGTATCATTCCCCTTAATTTCATTGATTTTGTTTTCTTCATTTTGAAGTCTCACATTAACCATCATCTTGACATCATTCTTTAACTTGGCTTTTATTGACACCTTTCTGGATTTGTTGGGAACATTCATCTACTAGCATGATGCCATCTCTCCTGATTTAGGTATTTCATCGCACCCTTAAAAGTTATCAAGGGCCTCATGGATCTTTGCAATCATCACCTCAGAATGCTTGGAGGCCGCTTTCACATGCTCTTTGATGTCATCTGCAGTTGTGGTAAGCCGCTCCACTGATGCATCTGCCTCTTTCGTATCAGCACTAAACTTCTTCAACCTTTCAAACCCAACCTTGCTTTCCTCTTGCCTCCGAGTCAATTCTGCTCTCAACTCATCTTAATGAGCATGCATCCTCGACATATCTGTCCCCATGACCCTTAGCTCAGTTACATGGGCAAAGCCATGGGCCTTGAGATTGGTTTGTTGAGCAATAATGGCAGTTTCCTCGCGTGCATAGTCGACTATCAATCGATGGTGTTGAGCAAATGTCTCCTCCACGAAAGTCAGCCTGGCACCGCTCAGCTCCTGCAGTTCAGACTCGCTCCTCGTGGCCTCCACCCTCCACCATGCCAAGTTATCTAAAAGACCTTGGAAAATGCAAAAACGGCTCTCTTCGTTGCACACCCACGAAGGTCAGCAATCCCCTTCTCAAGATCAGGAAGAGGGCACCCTCTCAACTGCTGAAGGCCAGCCCGCAGCAACCCAATCATCATGTCGGATCTCGCATCCACTGGGGGATCGGATACCAAAGATCCCCGGGCAGAAGTAACCTTTGCCGGCGACCACCGGCTCAGATCCCACGATGGTAAGATCTGCATCCAAGGGCACATCGGGCTCGGATTGTGACTCAATGTCAAATGCTAAGGAAGCCAGCACCTCGGCTGCATCAGCATCCTCCGAACAAACATCATCGGCAAACTTCGCGGCTTTGTTTAAGCCGCTTACCTCCTCAACACCTGGGCTCTCAAAGCTTACAAGCCCTCAACACCTGGGCACTCAAAGCTCACAAGCCTAGATAACAAGTGAGCCGGAGATTGTGCTGGCACGTCATCAATCTCAAAAGAAACAAGCATGCCCTCATTCGGGGCATCATTCACAATGTCATCAGCTGTCGCATCAATAACATGGGCTGCTTCCACCCTGGGAGCAGGACTACTCTCTCTAGCGAAAGCTCAAATCGAAGGTGACATGGCACAAAGGAACTGACAGAGCTGTGACTGGCTTGGAAATGGGTGCTGACACCTCATGGGCTAAAGAAGCTGCCTCTGCTAAAGTGGGCGGACTTGGAGACACCACGCGCTTCGCACGCTTGGCAGGCTTTGGAGACTTTAGAGGTAAATCACGAGTTGTACCCGGGGCAGGCTGAATGTGATAGGTCGCACTTAGGGCAAGAAAAACTGGTTGAGCTTTGCTTCCTCAATTGAACACTCTTCCGTAAAACCGCAGGTTCAGGGATGGACTCACGTTCAGAGTCTTCTAAGACTCCCTTCTTCCTCTCCTTCCTAGCAGTGGCCTCCTTATCATGGCAATCATAAGGATTGGTGGCGATTGGAGTGGAATGAGGGCCACTGCTATCAAAGCATTTAAATCCTATGTGGGTTGACCTTCGGCCCCACGAAAAACACGACCCTTGTCACACTCAAAGATAGAGCAGAGACGGTCGAAGAGGAACTTAGTCTCACCCTCAAGAGAAAGAACGGGGTGTGAGGCTTCATCAGCTGCTTCCACCTGAGGAATATTGATTTGCCTCCTCCAGTCTAGGGCGTAGTCAAGTTCGAAGATCTTCAAAAAGCTAGGTGGGGCAAAGTTCTTCGCATGCTTTGTCTTACACTTCTGAGCAAGATTGTCCTCGTTCCAAGGGTAAGGTGCTAACCAGTATGACCGGTTGGTACAATTCCACCAACGCCAATGAGCCTCAGTAGCATGACCAATGCGACCATAGTATGGAACAACAAATTTGTTCACACCAGTGAAATCAAGGCAAGTGGAACCAGTCACCCTCATATGACTGTCTTTCCATGCTTCATGCCTCTTGCCAAGTGTGTCCTCACTCCTTGAGGTCCCCTCTTTCCTGTGCCGCTTTTCAAAAAGCATGGGATATGAACACCCCTGATCAAGCCCATGCTGTCAGGCGAACCTGTGGGGGTAATAAGCCTCGAGCTTCTTGTCATTGCTCAAGCGAAAATCCATAATGTACCCCCTGACACTCAAGAGGTACATCAACTGGCGAGTCTCGGTGGGGGCTTCATCAAGCACATGACCGAAGGAATTAACAAAGGCACGATCAGTGGGACCACCAATAGGGACAGGTTTCACATGCGAGGAGTCCCTAGAAAAAGACTC